TCAGAATCCTCTAACCATCACGATTAACAATCAAGATAGAATGAAGACTAAGACACTTGACTAAAACTTAAAATTTGAATGAATTTATAATACCAAGACACATACGAAATAAATCCTAAGAGAATTATAATAGAAAGTTTATAAGAAATTGCTATTAATAACTTTATACCATTAAATTCAATAATGATGAAGAAATAAAATGGATAAATTTTAGACCAACATAATATACCAAGACTAACCTAAGAAGAAACATATGAATGGAACAAGCCAATTTACAAAAATGGAAATTGAAGCATAAAATATCTTCTGAAAACAAAAGCCCAGGACCAGATGACTTTACACGTGATAAACTAACACCCACCAGACTCAAATTGTTTTCCAAAATACAAAATGAAGGAATATTTCCTAATTAATTTTATGATGCAAAAATACTAGTGAAATTAAATACTAGTGAAATTAAACAAATACAATGTAAGAAAAAATATAACATCCTTGATAAAAATCAATTATCAGTATTTCATAAGAAATACTGATATACCATGATCAAGTGGGATTCATTAAGGGCTAAAGGATCATTTAATATATGTAAATTAGTTAATACAATGCATCATTAACAAAAGACAAAAAATGTAATATAAATAGATAGATGCATAGAAGGCATTTGATGAGATACAATACCCATTTGTAATAAATCTCTATATAAGATGGGTATAGAAATAGCCTACTTCAATATCTAAAAGGACAGATATCACAAATCAATAAAGCCTGAAATCTAGCACAAGTCAAGGATGCTAGTTGGCACCCTTTTATTTGACTGGAATTAGAGGTTTTGACCACTGCTATCAGAAAAAAACAACAGAAATAAAGGCAATTAAATCAGAAAACAAGAGGAAATAATCACAATTTGCTGATGATATTGCATAATATGTAGTAGACCCTAAAGACCCTATTAAAAAGTTATTACAAACAACAAATGAGCACAGCAATTTGGCAGTCTGCCATATATATATCTGATATATATATATATACATATATACATATATGCATACATACACACATACATATATAAATCCATAGCTTTTTAACATACAAATAACTAATAAGAAACAACAAAAATAATAACTCCAATTATAATCACTTCAAAAAGAATACCTAAGAATCAACAAAAAATGTAAACGACCTATGCAATGAGAGTGACAAGGTGTTACTAAAGGTCTTAGGTAGTGACATAAAGATATGGAAGGATATCTTATGCTCAAGGATGGGGAGAATCAAGTTTAAAATGACAATCTTGCCTCAAATGATATACAAATTTACATAATCTTTATCAAAATTGAGCATTATTTTTCAAATTAACTGAAAAAAATATTTGAAATTTACATGGAACCACAAAAAGTCTTGAATTGCAAAAGCAACCTTGAGAGAAGTGAGGAATCCTGTTAACTAATTTCAAACTTAGTTATAAAGCTACAGCATTAGAAGACCTCCCCTGGTGGCTCAGGTGGTTGAGCGCAGCGCTTTGAAGCTGTCCACAGCCTCTGCAGCACCAGTTTGATCCTGGCCAGCCAGTGAGGATCCCACATGGCAAGGCAAACCTCTCTTGTCTCGCCTGCTGCTCCCCTCAGCAATGTATTTCATTAGTCTGCCTGTTTTGTTCCCCGCTCTGTCTCTGGTGAATGCTCTCACCCTCCAGCGCATCTGGCCTGTACCCCGGTTCTTGTGTAAATAAATCTTAAAAAAAAAAAGCTACAGCATTAGAACTAATATAGGACTGCCACAAATATAGACACATGGAGTGATAGAAAAGCATCAAAAGTCCAGAAATAAATTTACATATATATATATACAGCACTTAATCTATGATAAAAGGTACTTGATCATAAAATGAGAAGAGATAGTTTAGTAACTGGTATAGGAAAAATTGGAAAACCTATTATAGAAGAATGAATTTGGGTTATTCAGTAACACCATACACATATATAAACTCCAAATGGGTTAATATTTAAATATCAGACCTGCAATATAAGATTAAATATAAATAAAATACATAAAAGAAACCATTGTCAATCAGTTCTAAAACATAAATGATAAAGATATTCTCAGTGATTGAACCACTATGGAAAGGGAATTAAAAACCCAAAAAAAAAAAAAATGGAATCACCTCAAGTTGAAAAAGTTCTATATAGCTGAAGAAATTGTACTGAATGTAAAAAAAATGTGTCCTTGCAATATATAACTGATAAGGGATTAATAGCCAAGACACATAAAGAACTCTTGCAAATCAAAATCCATATAATTCAATTAGCAATGGGCAGCATATATAAACAGAGAATTCACTGAAGAGATAGCCACAAGGTCAAAATACACATGAGAAAATGTTCATTGTCATTCCTTATAAGAAAGATGAAGATTAAAACCACATCTCACGAGAATGGAATGGCACATATCAAAGACTCCAAATAATTGGTGAAGAGACTGCAGATAAAAATATACCCCATTATATTGTTGGTAGGAAGGTGAACTGATAGACCATTATGGAAAGCAATCTGAAGTTACCTTAAAAATATTAAAAATATAAGTACTGTATGATCCAGTAGTTCTGCTCTTGTACAACTATCCACAGAACATAAAACAATCAACAGAAGTCTTGTTACAATATTCACAGCAGCATTATTTACAATAGCTAGGACAAGGAATCAGTCTAAATCTCCTTCAGAGGATAAATGGATCAAAACTTGTACATATAGTCCCCATACAATTCCCACCCCCTCTTGTTTTTATCCTACTCCCTTCCCCTGTAGTGTGTCTCTGGTTTATAATTGCTTGTGAAAATGCACACATTGTGCAAAAATGAAAAAATGATGTAATAAATATATAAAATTAAAAAAATTAAATAAAATGCAGGTAATAAAAAATACTTGTACATATATATGTTAGAATATTACATAGCCACAAGAAAAGATGAAATGCAAGTATTTTCAGCAAAGTAGAGGGAATTTGAAATAATTGTGTGCAGCAAAGCAAGTCAGAACAAATAAAAACAAATATTGGTCATTCAGATATGTAATAAAAAATGGACAATAGAAAACACTTTCAAAAACTACTGGATATGAAGAAACATCTTGAGGGCTATTAGGTTAAGAGGGAGGAGGGAGAGAAAAGGAAAATGGATCACAAGGGATGGTTATAGAGGAAAATAAAAAATAAAGTTGACTTATAAGGGAAATTTAAAATAAATTGTATAGTTTATAAATTTATAATTTAAATGTATATGGGCAATTAATTTTTTTGTCAGGCTTTCCAAAATACTCTAGGCCTGTATTATGTATTCAGGATGTCTGCGTGCTTTTGCATTATCTTTTACTTGCATTTCACACACCACAGAAGCAGCCCTAAAAGACAGAAAAGTCATCTTTAGAGCTAATGCCATTCTTGCTTTTCCTAGCCATTTCTTACTAAATATATTATTGTTCTGGACAAAAAGAAAATAACTGCTGACATGTATTATTGATTGTGACATTTAGTGTATGACAGAGTTACATCTAAGTTTCACATCTCGTAGTCATTACCTGTACTCCTACCATAATAAGTGCTTCTTTGGAAGTGGAAGATAATTTTGTTGGAATGTGCTTAAGATGAAAATATGGATGTTAGAAATAAGACAGAATATGTTTTATAAAACTTTTCTCCTAGAGGGTTTTAAAAAGTGTGCTATCTCAGTATCTAAATGTATGACATATATGGAATATTGAAGTTCTTCCCTATTATCTTTCATGGGCCCTTGTTCAAAATTGATTTTTTTGCATTGAAATTAGATGTTATATAAAAATAAGATTAGCTAACACTTTTACATAATCAGATACCAATCTAAGTATTTTACTTGTTTTCTTTTAATCCTCACAGCAACCCTATGATGCATGGTATTATATTTGTCAGCTAGAGATGAGGAAACTGATGATCACAGAATTGGCTTGCCTAGTGTTCCACAACCAATGAGGAGTAGATACTTGGAACCCAGGAAGTCAAGTGTTAGAGTCTACCCCCTTAGATTCAATAGACTCTTGCCTACAGAAAATCATTAAAACTTTATAAAGTTTATAATTTATACATAATACAGATGAGCAAATATGATATATATATATATCATATGCTATATTTTAAAATAATTTGTGGTATATGAGTTTAACAAATTTTTATTGAAATAATCAACTACTTGTTTACAAGCTTTATTGTTAGAAAATGCTACTGCATATTTAATTTAGTTTAGAACTATTAACATGGTTAAATAATATCCATGTGGTTTGTGCTGATTAAAATGTTAATAAACCTTTTTGCCAGCTTATGAACAATATGTAGGTATTTGTTTTCACAAGACTTTTCTTTTTGCAAAACAAGCAGTGGCAGCTCTCCTGCCCACCTGTGACTATGCCTCTTGATATTTCCTTTCTCCTTTTCCTAATAAACCTAGCTTTTTAAATTATTAAAAATTTAGTATAACTGCAGACTATATAAAAAGCCATAAAATGATAAAGGGGAAATGATTTAACTTAATTGCACTATGTTGTCAATGAAATAAGGAGTCTCATTTGTAGAATAAATATGTTCTTATTAGAATAGTAAATCAGGGATAATTTTGCTGCTTATGAAAATGAAAAATCATTGCTCTCATTGTTGCAGGAAATTTTATTTGTATATTAAACATAAAAAGGACAGTTTTATTTATGTTGTGGAAGCTATTTTTAAAGGAATATTTAAAAATAATTAAATTAAAAATTTCATAAATCTTTTAATTTTACTTTACATTTTAACAAGTGAATTTGTACTTTTATAAGACAAAATGAAACTAGGGATATTTTTAAATTCTTATTTTTAATTATCAATTGAAGAAAAGTTTTACATTTTTCTACTTATTTCTTAGTGTGAACATCCATACTATAGATATGTTCTATAGATTTTCTATATAAAATATGTACATGTTCATCCCTTGAAATCTTTTACAGGAAATTCCAGCACCAGGCAGCTATGATGTTCAAAAATCATATGAGATGTCCCAAGTGAAACATAACTACATGCCACCCCGTAATTTTGTGGCTAGAATAAAACATTCTTCTTTTCTTAGCACAACTCCTCGGTGTTTAGTCAAAGTGATTGATGGGCCAGGTAAGTGAAAGCATTTCTATGAAAGTAGTAGGAAAAAAAGCTAAGATTTCTAAATTAAAATAGACAACTAAAAGACAGGTATTTATATCTCTCCTTTTAAAAATATTTATTTATTTATGCATGCAAGAGCTGGGGTGCAAGCCAGAAATGTGTGGGTTTAAGGGATTCACCAGAGACAGAGTGAGGAGAAGAACAGGGGGATCTACTGAAATACACTGTTGAAGGGAGCAGTGGGTTAGACAGGAGAGGTTTGCTGTGCCATGTGTGTTAGCTCCCTGGCCAGGAATCCAACTTGTGCTTCAATGGCTGTGTATAGCTTCATAGTGCTGAGACTTAACCCCTTGCACCACCAGGGAGGTCCTACATTTATATCTCTTTTAAGTGTTTATGATTAAAAAAAAAAAAGGAAATCAAAACACTATTCAGTGAAAGATTTTAGATTATTTTTCCCCAACAGCCAGAAGATTAACTTGGATTTTTATGTCTCTCAATTTTATTAAAGACTATTTACCTATTTTACTAAAGCTAATAATATCATCTTAGGGCCCCCTGGTGGTGCAAGGGTTAAGTCTCAGCACTATGAAGCTCTTGACAACCACTGCAACATGAGTTTGATCCCTGACCAGGGAGCTAGTCCACATAGCACAGCAGTCCTCTCCTGTCTCACCTACTTTTCCCTTCAGCAATGTATTTCAGTAGATCTGTCTGTTCTGCTCCCCACTCTGTCTCTGGTGAATCCTCTTACCCCCTGTACCTGTGGTCTATAAACCAGTTCTTGAATGCATAAACAAATAAAATAAATTTTTAGAAAAGCTAATAATGTCATCTTCTACCAAGGAAATCACCCAAAATCTTATTGCACTAGAGCTGGTAGAGGAAAAATTCACTTACCTCGATTTTGGGAGATTATATTTGGGAGCAATTTTGGGGAGATATATTGAATATATCATGACAGTCTCATGGAATTGTTTTAATTTTTCTCAGATATCAAGAAGTCAGCTATATAAAACATTAAACTTTATTTTGGTTAAAATTCCAAAACTAATTTTGATTTATATAGTTTAACAACATGCTTTTTTTTTTAAGATTTATTTACTTATTTATACAAGAGCTGGGGTACAGGCCAGATGTGTGGGAGGGTGAGAGGATTCACTGGAGACAGAGTGGGGAACAGAACAGGCAGACTGACAAAATACACTGCTGAGGGGAGCAGCGGGTGAGACAGGAGAGGTCTCCCGCGCCATGTGGGACCCTCGCCGGCCGGGATTGAACTAGAGCTGCAGAGGCTCCAGACAGCTCCACGACGCTGTGCTCAACTGCCTGCGCCACCAGGGGAGGCCCCAACATGCTTTTTTTTAGATTTATTTTTATTTATTTATACATATAATAATTGGGGTGTAGGCCAGAGGTATGGAATGTGGGTAAATGGGTTCACCACAGGCAGAGTGGGGAGCAGAACAGGCAGATCTAATGAAATGCACTACTGAGGGGAGCAGCAGGCCATACAGCAGAGGTCTGCTGCGCCATGTAGGTTAGCTCCCTGGCCTGGGACAGTGGCAGGCAATAGCTTGATAGTGCTGAGATTTTAACCCCATGCCTCACCACCAGAGAAGCCCTTAACATTCTTTTTTTATTTAAGATTTATTTATTTATATAAGAACTGAGGTACAGGCCAGATATGTGGGAGGATGAGAGGATTTACCAGAGACAGAGCAGAGAGCAGAACAGGTAGATGGACTGAAAACACTGCTGAGGGGAGCAGCGAGCAAGGCAGGAGAGGTCTTCTGCGCCATGTGGGTATCTCCCTGGCTGGCCAGGAATCCAGTCTGAGCTGCAGAGGCTGCAGACAGCTTCACAGTACTATGGTCAACTCACTGCACCACTGGGGAGGCCCAGCCCTTAACATTGTTGAACTAAAAATGAATACACTAATTTTCCTTGATAATCAAGAAAAGTCAGCAAGCATATAAATTCACACAGTAAAAGAAGGTAGAAAATAGGAAAAAATAGTTTACAGCAATACTTTGCAAATATATTGCCTCTAAGCAACCAAACTATTTTGAAAAATCTTTATGAAACTAGGAAGAATAAAATGAAACAATGGAAAAAATCATGAATTTTCAATGAAAAATCAAATCAGGGGAATACAGCCTATGAAGGAAATAATACTTTGAGAAATTTAGACCCATGGAGATTTGTTTCGTCAAGAAACATTTTATTGCCAACTTGGTCTATTTTAAGTTGAAATTTAAAATTTCCTTTCTTTTTCTTGAGTTATTGTTACATTGTTGATTCTGTGAGATTTTAGTTTTGTTATGAAGTAGAATTCAAACACACCTAGTGTGATTCTAACCATGCTTAGTATCTGTTCACCCAGAAGTTGCACAGGGAAGTAGTTCTTTGAAGTTATGTTACATAATATCAATGTCCCTATTACTAAGCACAAGCAATCAAATATCAAGTCAATATCCATTTCAGTCTCTTGAGGTACATTATGTTGAACTTCATATTTTCTGGAGCTGGTTTTTCCTCTACCTTTATTATCCTTTCCATAAAAATCACTGTAGATCAAACATACAGTAAGCATTTCACTTACATGCTCGATTGGCACCATGGCTTTCATTGCTTCAGCATATCACCAAGGGTAAGTAAATTCATCACCATTTTTACAAAACTGAAGTAATATTTGCCACTTACTTGACTCTCATGATGAAATGGGATCTCAGCTGTTTGTCCTGTAGTGTATGACCAGTTTTCCCCCACTGCATTCGCAGTGAAGTGTGCTAGGTTTGTTGGTACCACCAACCTCAGGGCACAGAGCCTGTGGGTTGCAGGCATAGGCCGCTCTGATAGTGCCACCAGTAGTGGGAGTTCCCTTACCTGCCTCCCAGATTTGCTGCAGGCAATGCACATCTCATGCCAACAGTGACCTGCAACAGAAGGCTGTGGATGCAGAAGCAAATCCCAAGCAACATAGTTAATGGCCCAAATCTGCCTGGAGAATAGTTTCACCCCACTGAAGCTGCAAGAAGAGGGGCCCACAGTGCACTGTGCCAACATGGTGGGCTCCCAATGGCATGATGGGGTTCCTGTACCAGCACTGCTGCACTACCCCCCAATGGTTACAGCCATCCCTGCTGAAGAGGCACCAGTACAGTGTGCCTCTGGCCACCCCACTGAGGCTGGCTTCAGCCCATAGCTTGCCCTGACCTTGGGGAAGGTCAAATCTGTGCAGGTACCTGGCTTTTACCTTTTAAATACCATGCCTGAATCATAAATGGACCAATTAGGTTTGAACTTTCTAGCTGTCAGTTATGAACTTTAGTTCATTATACAGACTGAAAATGGAGTGAGTTTGATTGATGCTTATCAGCTCCAATCAAACAATGATGATTGAAAAAATAGTCCAACTCAGTATTGTAGAGTGGAGACCCTGAAAAAAAAAAAGAAACACTATGGGGGGGGGGAGGGATGGGGGGGGAAAGGAAGGTGGGGAAAGTCAAAATAAGGGGGGGTGCAATTGTATGGGGAATATAACCATAATGAAAATGTATACATTGTGCAAAGATGAAAAATGATGTAAGAATTATATAAAATATTAAAAAAATAAAGAAAAAATATAAATAGAATAAGCATTCGGCTTGATTCATTTAGCAGATGGCTTCCAAATAGAGTAGGATTCAGTAGGTAGCCTCCAAAGATAGAAAAAGAATTGAGTAGACTACCTCAGTGGGATTTAGTAGACCTCTGCAAGCCTCCGGACTTTTGCAGACTCAGACCTCTGCAGACCTCCAGACCTGTGTAGACTTCCAGACCTCCATAACTCTACCTTTGCAGAGACCTGGCTGCAGCACCAACATCCAGCCTTGCCTCAGACATCACCTGCAAGAAGCGCTGTTAAAACTTAGCTCACTGTCTCCAAGAACTGTTTGCTCTCACAAAGAGCTGTAACATTGATGTCTGATACTACCTCTCATGACCAATAATAATCAGCACTACTGACCAGATCAGACTAGCACTACTTACTGGTGACCAGCACAGTGTGTCTAGTCACACTTGAGAGCTGTCCACCACTTCTAATAATTTGATCCAGAGCTCTGGATTCCAGAAATGCCCAGTCTGGCATCCAGTGATCCTGGCCTCCAGACAATTACTGTGTTCTGCTTCAGTGACAACACTGGAACCCCAACTCTAAGCACCTCCAAATGCTGCCATGAGTTGGATCCCGATTTTCTGCATACTGATATGCCACCAGTTCCAGGACTTTGTTGATAAGACAGTGCCATCTTGCATGAGGGTCCTTTGTTTGGGACTACTGGGCACTGCAGACACTATCTGGGGTGAGACAGCCAGCCACTTGAGGTTTTAGAAGCTCTTTTGTGTCCCCAAAAGGACACTGTTTGTTAAATAAACCCCATCGTAGTTGAGCTCTGAGCCTAAGTGGTCTGCAATTGTCAGTGCATGGATGGAAATCCATAGACAGTGTCCTGTTCCCTACTTTTACATTGACCTTGGCACTGTTTCAGGCACTGTCTTAATGAGAATACAAAAGTTACCAAGATTATCTTTCAAAGTCTTTTTCTGAATACCTGAATCTCCTTAGAAGTAGAGTCTTATAATAATGTTCATCTTAGTTCTCAAGTCAATACTAATTTCTGAAAGATTTTAGGAAAGGGGAATATCTTCATTATGAAGACAATTATTTGGAAGTCAAAGTAAAGTGAATGTCAAAGTCTTGTATAGTTGTAGAGCAGCCATCTTATAAGTGAAAGTTCATCTCTTTCAGTAAACCAATAATCCATTCAGTTTGTCATCCTGCAACTTAAAGTGCCCTATCTAAGAAATTATAGTAGGACACTCACAAGCTTCTATAATGAAAAAATTAGAAAAAATATGAATTTTGAATCTATTAACTGATGTCATAATGTATAAAATTTGAATTTTTCTTATATGTGAAAATATAGCAGTTGCAGAATTGTTTATTCTTTTAAAGTTAATAT